GTCCCTCCCCCAGCACAGAGCCCTACCAGGAATCTCTGGCAGTATTTGTTGAATCCGATCTGCTGCAGCCACGTCTGCACCTCGCAGGACTTCCAGTTGGGAACCGTGGGCAGGATGCGCCGAGGGACCTCCTCCCCAATCATGCGCAGCACCTTTTTGGCCAGGGAGGAGGTGGTACTGCTGGTGGAGTAGCACACAATCCTCTTCAGGCTCTGTGTAGCCCCGATCTCACTGAAAATCTGTGGACACAAAGGGAAGAGACATCACTTTGCTTCCCCTCATCCTCTTCCCAACAAGCTGCGCCGGGCCAGTGAGAACCAAGGTGTTTGGTGAGCAAAAGATACCGAGATGCAGCTGTGGCACCCCTTTCCTTTGTCATCACCTTCCTCCAGGCCAACCTACCCTTTACCTGTGTTTTCTTCTGCCTGGCTTTGATGGCAGCCTCGGTGCAGAGGTAGAAGGCGGCGATGCACTGGGCTTCCAGCCGGGAGCTGTCCAGCAGGGGCACGAGGCGCTGCAGGTCCTGCGCCGTCCTGCCCTGGATGTTGTCACTGCTGCCCAGCATCTGGCGGGCGAACTGCTCGGGGTCCAGCGAGGCGATGAAGGGCTCCACCAGCGCCAGCGTCCCCGAGCGCTCCACCTCCTTCTCGATCTCCTTGTTGGTGGCCAGCACCGTGATGGCCAGGCAGGCGTGCAGCCGGATCAGCTCGTCGTCTTTGGAGAAGGCCAGGGGGAAAAGCCACTCTGCCGCCTTCTTCTCGATCATCAGGCGCTGGTTGGCCTGGCCCCCGTACATGGCGCAGTTGGCCAAGGCCATGGCGCAGTGGCGCAGCACGGCGGGGTCCGTCCAGCGGCACCAGTACAGGATGGTGTCCAGGCCTCCGTCGGAGATGAGCTGGAAGCAGGTCTCCTCCGTGTGTTTGAACATGTGCTCCAGGATCCCAGCGATGCTCTCAGCCAGCTGGGGGACGTCCCGCTCCTTGGCTAAGTTCAGGATTACGCCCAGACCGATGCGAGCGATGCGGTCCCTGTGGGAAGGAGATGGGGAGGAGGGGCAGATGGATGTGCAAGGAGTGACAGCAGTGACTGGTGTGGCCCGTGCCTTGGTGACATTTATCCCAGGGCAGAGATGTTTCCCTGTAGGACACAGCTGCCAGATATGCAACGCAGCAAGATGCAGCAGGCTGGTGTTGGAGGAGCCTGTGTGGGTCTGATGGAAGAATCTGTGATGGGGTGCATAGCCCAGGACCCCCTCACTGGATGCTCTCATGCTCGAGGTAGGATCTTCACAGCAAAACAGGCAGGGTGGGTTAATGCCAGGCTGGAAATGGATCTGCTGGGCCAGCACTGCTGTGGTGTGGAGCTGTTTTGTGTTTGGGAATGAAACTTGTTTGTCACCTAAGCACTGCTGAAAGCAGCCAAGCAGCCGTGTCCACATGTCTGGGGGTCTGTCTGTCCTGGGATGGCAGCTAGAGGGAAGCTCTTTACTTCTTCTCCCTGCACTCTTCTGGAAGAGGACAGCAAGAACCTGAGGTAGGTGGCCAAGGGCCACCAGCTGCTGCTTGTTCATGGCTGATCTTGGGAGGCCTGTGCTTAAAATGACACCTGAATGGAGCAGTGCCTTGAAAATGCAGTGAGGAAGGGGAAAATCAGGGTCATAGAATGATTGGGGCTGGAAGGGACCTGAAAACTCATCCAGGTCCAAGCCCCTGCCATGGGCAGGGACACCTCCCACCAGACCAGGTTGCTCCAAGCCCTGTCCAACCTGATCTTGGACACCTTGAGGGATGGAGCAGCCACAGCTTCTAAGGGTAAACTGTGCCAAGACCTTACCACCCTCTGAGATGAGCTCTTTGCTGTGCTCCCATGAGCTTTCCTGGGGTGAGTGGCAGCTCCACCCTCGGCAGTGGCCATTTGGTGCCGTGCTGGAGCTGCTCTGTTAGTGAGGCAGCACTGGCACTGCTGCCCCATGCCCTGCTGCTCAGGAGGGCAGTGGTGGGGTGATGGCACACCAGCCTCTGTGCTGGCAGGCAGGAAGAACATTTCTGGGAAGCCTGTGACCCACAGGGCTCTCACTGACCTTGGGGTGGGTTTGACAGGAAATGTTGTGAAGAGCCCGGGGGGAAAAAAAAAAAAAAAAGCCCTCAGCCTGGTCTGGCTCCGAGCCCGGACTCAGCCATGGAGCTGGATGACAAACACAGGTCCCCGACTCCCTGCAGCTGCAGATGGAGCCAGGACCTGTCCAGCTCCCAGTTAAACACCTCTGCTGCTGTGCACAGACTGGGGGAGTCCTGCAAGTGAGAGGCTTGGAGCCAAAGGGGAGCCCCACACCTCCCTGTCATGGCTCAGAAGTTGTGGGAAGGGAGGGGCTGGAGTGCCATGGCTGCTCCAAGACCCTGGCCCATGAACTGCTCCTGGAGCAGAAACAACTCCAGCAAATGCTTTCTTTTGCTAAGGAGCTGAGTACTGAATGCAGACCATGCCAGTGATGCTTCCTGGGATTAAATTCCACCCTAATGGGCTTTCCTGATTTAGCTGCTGCTTTTTTTTCTTGCCAGTGCATGAAGTGAGGCCCCGGCTGTGAGTCCACAACCTTCCAGCAAGAAACATCCTCCAGAAAGCCAGGCCAGGCTCCCTCAACATACTCTCCAGAGCCCTGGCTGGGTCTGGGTTGGGGTGCTCTGAGGGAGAGCAGAGGTAGTGGAGTGCATTTGGGGTGTTGGAAGGGTGAGATGAGTGCGGATGCTGATTTGGATGTGTCAAGTGTGCACATGCACCTTTGTACTCGCACACACACTCAGGCACACACTGCCACCCCACCATGCCCAGGCTCTGACAGGGACATCCCAGCATCTCTCACCTGTGCTGGGCAGCAGCACATGCACCTGAGCTAGGGGCTGAGGGCTGCTGACCAGCTGCCACCTCCTTATGGCTTCATCCCAGCCCTGGGCAGCAGCAGGAAGGCTTTGGGAAGTGGCTTTGTCCTCCTCGTGCTGCAGTTATGGCCAAAGGGGAGTCACGTCTTGGCCTTTGGGTCAGATGAGCCAAACTGACTCAGCTTCACCTGGCTGGGGGGGGGGCTCAGGGGGACACCCCAGTCCTCACCAGCATCCCTGGGCTGGGGCTGGTCCTCCCCCCTCCAGATATGGGGGAAGGGAGCAGGTCATTGTCTGGGCACAAGCACTGGCTGTGGGGGGATGTGGTGGGGACCCGAGGGGGGTTTGTGCAACAGAGGGCACTCACAGCAGGGAATTTGCAGGGGGTGTGACATGGGTAAAGGTAGGTCAAGGCCAGGTTGGATTGACTGGTCTGTGGAAGGTGTCCCTGCCATGGCAGGGGGTTGGGATGAGGCCTTGAAGGTCCTTTTGAACCCAAAGCGTGCCCGGGGTGCTGGGGAGGGCCGTGCCTGGCAGGGTGAGGCTGAGGGGCTCTTTGCAGACTCACCGGTTTTCCGCCACCAGGATCTGCTCCAGGAGTTTTCCTGCCTGGCACTTGGTCTCCAGCTCGGCGGTGTAGAGCAGGTTGAGCAGCAGGTCCAGGCCCCCCTCGAGGCGGATCGCATCGCACAGCACCTTGGCCACGTCCCTCCCCACGGCGGGCATCCTCCAGGCCTCCTCCACCAGGCGGAACGCCTCGGAGAGCGCCGCCCGCAGCCCCTCGGCCGTGGGCGCCCGCGCGGCGTGGGCGATGGCCCGGCGGAGCGCGGGCAGGACCCGCTCCAGCGCCTCCCGCACCTCGCTGCCCACCCCGGGGGAGACCCCGCCGTGCTCCCGGGGGCTGCCCCCGCCCGCCCAGCCGCCAGCCCGGCTCACACACTCGGGCACCGCCAGCCGCTCCGCGCTCGCCATGGCCAGGGAGCGGCCCAGGGCGTGCAGCGGCAGCAGCAGGGCGAGCATCGGCGGCGGCTACCGCGGCATCCCGTGCGGCGGGGACGCGTCCCGCTGCCCCCGCGGCCCCGTCGGGATGCGGGGCTGCAAGCGGGGCGGGATCCGCCTTCCCCGAGCCGGGCTCAGCATCCCGGTGCCCGGGGCTGATGTCATTGAGAGCAGGCGCCGCCTCTCCAAGGAGGGGCTCGGTCCCGGAGCTGCAGCCCCCTCCCGCTGCGGGTGCCCCCTGAGCCCCCCTGACACCAGCCCCGGGATGATTTAACAGAAGCGTGGAGGTGGCACCTGGGGACATGGTCCGGCAGTGCCGGGATAACGGCTGGAATCGGTCTTAGAGGGCTTTTCTGACCTAAATGTTGTGTTTCTGTGATTGTGGCCTTTCAGTGCTCAAATAGGGCTCATTAAAAAAAAAAAAAAAAAAAAAAAAAAAAAAAAAAAAAGAGAAAGTGACTTTTTACACGGATAGATACCGATTGAACAAAGGAGAGCCGTTTTAAAATAAAATATGAGAGATTTAGATTAGATACTAAGCTAACATTTTTACTTGTGAAGTACTTGTTCAGGGAGGCTGTGGATGTCCCGACCCTGGAAGTGTCCAAGGCCAGGTTAACGGGGCTTGGAGCAACCTGGGAGAGTGGAACGCGACAGGATTTGGAGCTAGACAATTTTTCATTTTCAACCCAAACCATTCTATTTCTAGCCCTCCCTGTCCAGCCTGAGCTGTGGCTTGTCCTGCTGTCCCCGTGGCCCACATCCCCCAGTGTGCCCGAGGGGCTGCTGCGGTGTCACTCCCGTGGCAGGCAGCGACACCCACGCTGATTTTTTCAGGACACCTCTTCAGGACCCTCTGTGACCAGGGAGGGGGCACAGGGTGGAGGTAAAGGGCACCAGGCACCGTGGTGGTCACGGTGAGGCTGTGACCACCCTGGCACAGTGTTTTGAACCATTTGGTATCAGCAGGGGGGCAAATACCCATTGCCTGGTGGAAATTCAGAGCAGCTCTTCTGGGTGGGCTCGAGATTTGCATGATAAAAGAAAGAGCAGAGGCAGCCTGGGCCTCTTTTGTTTTCTTTTTTCCAGGCCAGACGTGCTCAGGGCAGAAATGCTTAAATGCTTTGGGCATTTCTCGGATGTGCTGGGAGGAGCAGCTTAAGTCCTTGACTCCAAAACCAGGTTGTTGCCAGGTCAGCCTGAGACTTAAATTCGAGTTGATGTTTGGATGTGACAGAGTCGCTCTTAATCCTCTCTGAACCCACTTCGAAAGGGACAGACAGAGGAAAGGGACATCATCGACAGACAGACAAGGAAGGACGGCGAACAAGGCACCCCGAGCAGCGCAAAACTGCGGGAGAAGCTCGGCACAGAACCAGTAAGGAATTTCCTGATAAATTATTATTAATTATTATTAATTAATTATTATTAATCAGGGGTAACCATAAGGGCTGTCCCACTGTAGAGCAGCAGAGGGTTTGCTGCCCGGGGGCAGCAGAATTTAAACCATTCCCTTTGGCTTGTCCTGACTAGCCCAGAGAACTGAGCTTTGTTTTGCTTTTAGTTTTGCTTTGCTTTGCTTTTTGGGAGAGATTTCAGACCCAGCAGCCTGGGCTCTGGAACTGCAGCGGTTCCCAGCCTTGTCCTGGGGGATCAGCCCCATTTCCCGAGTTTTCCTCACTGGATCTGCTCAGCCCTTGGCTGTAGGAGCTCCCCGGGGCCTCCTTATCCAACCAACCCCTCTCCTGGGATCTGCTCCTGGTAGGGAAGGGCTCGCTGAGCTTTCATGGATCTGTGGCTGGTGGCTGGGAGCCTGGAGCAGCAGGAGGGAGCTTTGTCTTAGCTGATCAGCCAAAGCAGCTCAGACAATGCCCAGCCCTTCTCCCCCAAAGCCTCCTGCAAGCCTGAACCCTCGCAGGGCTGTTGTCCCACAGGACTGGCTCAGCACTGGTTAAGCACTGGGCTGGTGCTGGCACTTGGGGACGATGTCAGCTCTGCCATAGCTGAGGCCAGGGGACAAGGAGTGGGGTGAGGGCTGCAGAAGTTCTGCCCCAAAAGCCGATGTCTGGTAGCTGTCCTCAGCTCCTCAGGGCTTCCAGGTGGAAATGCTTGTCTCAAAACCAAATAAAGCTCTTTCCAGCAAGATGCCAGGAGCAGATGATGCCAGGAACTGCCTGCGTCTCAGCTGGCAGTGGAAAGACCTCTGGAGCAGTGGACACCCTGCTGTGGTTTCTCTCACCCCAAATCTTGCATCACTTAAGGCCCAAAGCTGCACCATTCCTTCCTAAGGGCTGGGACAGATCCCTTGGAGCTCCTGTCCCAGCAGAAGCAGAAGAATCAGGATTGCTGCAGCTTCGTGTGCATTTGCTCCTTGCCCCGACTAAATAAACATCCCAGAGTTATCAGGAGCTGCCAAAAGAGCTGAGTCGACATTAATTAGTAACTGAAAGATTGGTTGGAAAGGGAATGACGGGAGCAAAATACACAGGCTTTTGTTTGCCTTCTGCAGTGAAAGTGCTGAGGGCTCCTGCCCCCGGCTGCTCACCTCTGGCCTCTGGTCCCCACCACAGAGGTGGCACCTGCCCCATCCCGAGCCACCCTGCCTTGGAGCTCCCCAGGTGTGTTCCCAGCCTTGACATTGAGAAAGCTGAAACCCCAAGAATAAGCCCTCCAACTTTCCCTTTGTCTTCTGAGCATCGCTCCTCCATCCCATCTCATTTGGGTTTTTGTCTTTGACAAGACCAGGCTGGAAAACAGCTGGTTGCTTTTACACCATGAGGTATGTTATGACATAAGCGTGGCAGGACCTCAAGATGGTTCCTGACTGTCTTTCTGCTGTCCCTCCCCAGTCTCTGAACAGTGCCCAACCTGCACCGGGGCTGGGGAGGAGCTGCTGGCGCTCGTGGCAGCCCTGTCCCCCTGCTCAGTGTGGCCTGTGGGGGAAGCTGGGTGGGAGATCATCTCTGCCCCTTTCCCCTGTTCCGACCTTGGGCTGTTTGCTTTCTCCCGCCGGGGCAGGCTGAGCAAACACTGGATGCTGGGGCTGTGCCGTGCTCCAGCCCGCACAGTCGCAGGAGGGCTGCGCTCCCGGACGCCCAGCATGAGGCTGCTCTTCCCTGCCCTCGTGCTGGCCCTGCTCGCCACCACCCGTGCTGCAGAAGGTGAGATTTAGCCAGCCAACCCCTTACCAGGTGCTTTGGGGATGGAGAAAGAGTGACTCTTGAGCTGATGGAGGGGCTGGACAGCCCGGGCAGGGTGGGAACGGAGAGGATGGTGGCCGTGGCCACATTGGCTGTACCCTGCAGGATGGGGAGAAAGCAAGTGGGCAGCACATGGGGGTCAATGGTGCCTTGGCAAACCCTGCCCATCCACGGCTGGGCTGCCAGCACGGAGCTGGGAGCATGGCACAGCCCAATCCATGGCTCCCATCCCAGCAGGACCTGAGTTGGAGCAGGGCAAGGAGCTGCTGTAGCCCCTGGTGATGGAGTTGACCATGAAAGGATGGGGCACCCCCAACCAGAACATCCCCAAGTTTGCTTTCCTCTGTGGGGCTGGGCTGGGAGGGGAGACATGGGTCCCACTGCCCCACGCCATATTACCCCTCCTGAGCTGTGGGGTGGCTTTTGCAGACTCCTGCGAGGGCCGCTGTGAAGAAGGCTTCGATGCAGGCCACAAGTGCCAGTGTGACACCCTCTGTGTGTACTACCAGAGCTGCTGCAGCGACTACTCCACCGTCTGCAAAGCCAAAGGTACTGTCCCCATGGCCACCCTCCTGGCCAGGGCACAGGGGGAATGGGGTGGCTGTGGGTGCTCCACACCCTGGGGTCTGCGCTGGGTCAGCTCTGCACCCAGCTGTGCCTGCGGGGTGAAGTCAGCATCAGGATTTGCTGCAGCACAGGGGGTTTTTGGAAGCTGGGTCATCACCATCTGGAGTGTGGGATCTGCACTAATTGGATAGATTGGTTAGTAGGAAAAATGTCTTCTCTGAAAGGGTGTTCAGGCTTTGGAATAGGCTGCCCAGGTGGAGTCACCATCCTGTGGGAGTGTTCTAAAAATGTGTACTTGCGACACTTGGGGACATGGTTGGCAGTGCTGGGTTAAATTGGACTTGATGATCTTAGAGGTCTCTTTCTTAATGACTCCATGATTCTGTGAATCTCTATTGCCTGGGAGAGAGGTCTGCACCCAGACCCAGTGGGAACCAACCTGCTCCCTCCTGCAGTGACCCGGGGAGATGTCTTTGCCTTGCCGGAGGACGACTACCTGGACTACAACCTCACCGTCGACTTTGTCACGGAAGAGGTGCCCACGGCAGAGCCCACAGAGCTGCCCACAGCCCCAGTGCTGGTGGACACCACACCAGAGAGCAAGCCAACCCCCGAGGAGACACTGCCAGAGGTGCCCAGCACCACCCCAGAAGTGTCTGAGGAGCCTGAGGAGCTGTGTAGTGGGAAACCTTTTGATGCCTTCACCGACCTGAAGAACGGTTCCCTTTACGCTTTCCGAGGTACTTTGTGGGACATGTGGGACATGCTGCCATGCTGGCACCCTGTGCTGTGTCTGCAGTCCCTTGCACTTCCCCTGCATCTCCTCTCTCCCCAGGGAAGTACTTCTATGAGCTGGACAAGACCAGTGTGAGGCCTGGCTACCCCAAGCTCATCAGTGACGTCTGGGGCATCGAGGGCCCCATTGACGCAGCCTTCACACGCATCAACTGCCAGGGCAAGACTTACCTCTTCAAGGTGGGCTGCAGGGCTGGGGGTACTCCCAGGGTGGTCAGCACAGCACCTCAACCCACCCTATATCCTCTTCTGGCACCTCCCATACACCCATGCACGCCGTGGTTGCCGGAGACCCCAAATCCCTGTGGTTATTCTGGGACCCCAAGCAACCACAGCCCCGTGATGGGGCTCCCCAGCATCCACTCCCTCCTCCTGGCAGACCTGTGGCTGGGGGATGTTGCACCTGTAACCCCTCTCTGTCCCCCACCCCTCAGGGCACCCAGTACTGGCGCTTTGATGACGGAGCCCTGGACCCTGGGTACCCACGGGACATCTCCGAGGGCTTTGAGGGCATTCCCAACAATGTGGACGCAGCCTTCGCCCTCCCTGCCCACAGCTACCACGGCAATGAGAGAGTCTATTTCTTCAAGGGTAAGGGGGCAGCCCCTGCTGCTGGCAGAGCCTGGCACCACTGGGCACAGGCTAGGCACCCCTCCAGTGCCTGTCCCCCACTAACGCCCTGCTCACCCTCTCCTAGACAAGTACTACTGGTCCTACGACTTTGCCCAGCAGCCCACGCAGGCTGACTGCGAGAAGTCCTCCCCCTCCACGGTGTTCAAGCACTACGCCTTCATGAACCGGGACAGCTGGGAGGACGTTTTCCAGATCCTCTTTGGCGGCAGGATGCGTAAGGGCTGGGCCAGCCCCGGGGAAGGGCTGGCGGGTCCCAGCAGTGGGCACTGACAGGGCACAAGGCATGCAGACACCCAGGGAGGAGGGAGCGATGCCTGGAAGCTAGGGCAGGCAGGATGAGCCATCATATCCTGCCCAGGCCATCCACAGGAACACCCCAGACCATAGCTGCACCTCCCACAGCATCCCAAATCCCCATCACCAGCTGCCTCACACCACGGTGTCACTGCTGGGGACTGTTTATTATCACTGGAGCTGGAGATGCCACAGGCAATCCCCAGCCCTGGGCAGGGAGAATGAAAGAGAGGAGGAGAAGGGGGCTCAGCAGCACACAGCTGATCCCAGCCAAGGGGGTGGGGGACCACTCCTGGCTCAGCCTGGCCCGTGTCACTGTCACACATCCCATCCGGGCTGGGATCTTTCAGATCATTCCTCTGGGTCTCGGAGCAGGTGCTGGGTGCTGTCTGTGGGGTGGGCTCAGCTCACCCCACACGCTGCTGGCCCTCTCACTCACCCTTTGCTCCTTTTCCAGCTGGGGCGAACGGCCCGTGGTACATCAGCCGGGACTGGCGGGGTGTGCCCAGCCGGCTGGACGCTGCCATGGCCGGCCGCATCTACGTGCCCTCCCAGGAGCCCCGGAGGAGGAAGTCTCGCCGTCAGCGCAAGAGGTACAACCACCACCGGTCACTGAATTTGGGATTCTGGAGCTGGCTGCAAAATGACCCCGACTCAGCAGGTGTTGAAACGGATGGGCTGTCGGGCTCCACGTGTGAGATGCTCCAGAGTGTTTACTTCTTTGTCGGAGGTGAGTCTGGTCTGGCAGGGTCCAGGAATGATGCAGGACCAGGGCTGCTGGGGCATGGGGAGGGCTCCTCTCTCTCTGCAATGGCTCTGGGGTGCAGTGGGAAGGCGCTGGCAGTGAGGGCTGGCAGCTCCCCAGAGCTGGGGACAGTCCTGACGGCCATGTCCCCTTCCCCAGACAAGTACTACCGTGTCAACCTGCGCACCAAGCGTGTGGACCTGGTGCGGCCGCGCTACCCCCGCTCCATCGCCCAGTACTGGCTGGACTGCCCCCAGCCCGGGGAGGAGAGCACCTGATGGGATCCCTGGAGCCACCAGGAGCCCAGCCTCAGCTAGACAGAAATAAACTGTGAGAGCCATGCAGGCTGGAGAGCTCTGTCTGTGCATCCATCCAACCGCCTGTGCCGTGGTTTGTGCAGTCCGTGCAGTCCGAGGTCTCGTGTCCCCGAGGGCTGTGCTTGTCCCCCTGGTCTGTGCCAGATCCCTGATGCTGGCCCCATCCATGCTGTGCCTGTGGCAGCTCAGATCTGCTCTGCCAGCCAGTCCAGTGCCTCTTCCCACTGGAGGAGAGGGACAGTGCCGGCAGCTGCCAGCGGGGAGCAGCAGGGTCAGGTCTCCATCTCCCCAGGATCAGAGCACAGCCCCCCACGGTGCACGTGTGAGTGGTTGTGCAGGGATGGGTGCCCATCCAAGACCCTGCCTGGTCTCCCAGCAGTGCCCCGCTCACCTCTGGGCTCTGGCAGCCCTGGCCAGGGCGGTGCTGAAGGGATGACCCTTCCCTCAGAGCTGGGGACGTGCTCAGGGCCTGGCAGCTCCCGGTGCAGCGTGTGCTGCTGAGATAAGCTCCTGCTCCTGCCACGACTCCTGCCATGAGGACACATGAACAAACCCTCACCTACTGTCCCACCACCCCCCAAAACTCTAGGGAACTCCTGAGCTGCAGCTGATGCCCAAGGAATGGCTCTCACCGCTTCTTCTGGTGCAGCTGGGGGTGCCCGTGGGGGTGATGGGAGCCAGGCAGAGCCGTGTCCTCCTGTCCAGGTGGCAGAAGACCAGCATTTCCCTCAGGGGGGACTGGCTGTGGCACGGTGGGCACTGGCAGCACCTGGGGGTGAGCAGAGTGGTCAAGGTGGCTGTGCCACCCCTGTGCCATCCCCTCCCAAGAGACGCCTGGGGCTGTACCTGGAACATGGTGGCATCAGCTGGCCCAGGGCAGCACTGTGGGCACCCAGGGCAGCTGGGGTGGCTGGAGGCAGGAGGGAGCTTCTGGAAGAGAGGACGGCAGTGGGTGGGAGGTCTGTGCACGCTCAGCCTGCCGTGGGCAGGATGGCTGCAGACCCCAGGCCCCTGCTCTCACCGGCAGCTGGGGGACAGAGCTGGGTGTGGTGTCGGGCCGCCGGTGCCTCACCGAGTGCCCGTGGGGGACGTGCAGGGTGCGGGCACCCCGGAGCAGGGGCTGGCTGTCACAGGAGCTGCTCGTGGCTCTGTGGGATGGGCCAGCTGCGATGTCACCGCTGTGGTGTGGGCACAGACGGGGCTGCCTGGGGAGCAGGGAGGAAGCCCAGCAGGGCATTGGCAGCCTCCAGAGAGCCCTGCCCAGCCCCGCGGAGTCACTCAGGGAGGCTGGTTGGTGCAGGGTGCTGCCCAGGCAGGGGCTCTGGCTGCCCTGTCAGCCTCTTGATCCCCTATTCAGGGGTCCCACACAAATGTCCCATACCTCATCTGCTCATTCTCCACCACGAAATCCCGCAGGAGACCATAGAGACTGGGCCAGGCTGGGGTTCCCTCTGGTGGGAGCTGCCCTGCAGGGCCGTACCTGTCTCCAGAGCCCGCCCATGCTTTTGGAGGGTTCTCTGCGACCTCCGTGCTCCTCACTGGCACTCTGGGCAGGCACAACTGCTGGCGTAGGGAGAGGTTTTCCAGCTGCAAGGCATGGATTTCTCGCTCCAAGGTTTGCAGCAGCTTCTCCCGGGACACCTGGGAGCGGTGGGTGGATAAAGGGGTGGGTCAGGGGGGTCCCAGCAGCGGGGCAGAGGAGCTCAGAGGGGTTCTCTGTCTGTGATACCCTGTTGGCCATGGGTCTGGTGGTGACCTTCCGGGCACGGCTGGCGTAGTGCAGCGTGCTCAGAGTCTCTGAGAGGCAGCGTGAGGACGGGGAGATGCAGGCGACCTGCCACCGAGGAAGAGATACAGGTGAACTGTCATCCAGAGGGTCACCATCCTTTTCCAGCCTTCTCCTCCAGGGGTGAGACCCCTTGCCCAGCCTCCTCCATGGTTTTACCATCAGGGTGATGCCCGAGCCGCCCAGCGAGCGAGCCAGCAGCCGGGTGAGCTTGCTGTCCCGGTAGGGGATGTGTGTTCGCTTCCCTCGGGGTTTGGCCAGCAGGGAGATGCAGTGTCCTGCCGGAGGATGAACCACAAAGGATGTGAGAAGTCTCTGGTAGGGGCCAGCAGGACGCTCCCAGGGCGGGTTCCCCAGCTCTTACCCAGTGCCAGGAGGCTGCGGTTGATGCTGTTGGCCTCCACGGAGAGCTCCCCGCTGGAGCCGGTCTCCTTCACCCGCTCGCTGCCAGCCAGGTCCACGAAGCACAGTGTGCCCTGCTTGCTGGGGCAGGTGCTGGCCTGGAGAAGCATGTTGGGGGCTGATGCTTTGACCCCCATTACCCTTTCCCCATTGACCACGGCACTGTCCCGACTCCTGGATCTTGGATAGGATTCCCAGCTGCTTTCTCCAGCCCCACCCATCTATCCTTGAGGAGCGCATGACCCCCCCACCGTGGGGGTGTCTGCATCTGCACCCCCGTGCTGAGCCCGGAGCCCCCCAGCCCTGCCCAGGAGCAGGATGCGCGCTCACGGCTCGGCTGCGGACGTGGACGGTCAGCAGGGCGTGGCTGCGGCTCGAGTGCCTGTTGAGGGCATGTGCCGAGGTCCGGCGCCTCTGGGATCCTGCTGGGCGAGGAATTGATTGCATGACACCCCACATTGCTGCCCCAACCCCAGAGCATCCACTGCCCAGCACCCCCTGCCCGACCAGAGCTGCTCTGCAGCTGTACAGGGAGCTGCTCCTCTTGGCTGCCATCAGAGTGCCACCAGCCCTGGGACGGTCTGCGGGGTCTGAATCCCCCCCATACCGAGTCTAGCACCCCCTGAACATGTCCCAGCCCTGTGGCTGTGGCTCAGCACCTTGCAGGAGCAGGCGGACGATGGCCTCCATGCTCTCGAATTCCACACTGAGCTGGTTCTCCACGTAGAAGCCGCGGGTTTTGCTCCAGCGCAGGGGCAGGGCGCACGGTGGTCCTGGGCTCAGCAGATCCCGGACCTGGCACATGGCAGGGGGATGGCACGGGGGAGCGGGGCACAGGGTGCCAGCAGGGCCGGAGTGGGCGGCTGGGCAGGCGCTTACCTGTTCTTTGTAGATCTCCAGGTAGGAAGCGCTGAGAGCCAGGTCAGAGCCACGGCTCCGGCTCTGCTCCAGGAGGCAGGTGAAGGATCTCTGCATCAGCCCCAGCAGGGCCGGGGATGCCGGCTGGGTCTCGCTCTGCAAAGGTACCAGGATGGTGAGTGATCACATTGGGCACCGCCTGCACCATGACCGGCTGGGAGGAGCTCATCCCACGACCGGGATCAGGTGAGATGGTCAGCGTTGTACCTGGGCGAGGGGTCCCATCAGGGTGTAGGTCTTCCCCGAGCCGGTCTGCCCGAAGGCAAAGACGGTGCAGGAGAAGCTGTGGAAGATGCTGAGCGTCGGGCACGGCCGCAGGCGGTGGCACAGCGATGCCACCTCCTGACACAGTCCGGGCAGTGCGAACGCGCCGGAAAAGCCCGGCGTGGGGTGGATGGAGGGTTGGGGTCCGCGGGGCGCTCTCCGGGACTCACCCGTCCATGGCCAGCTCCACCAGCTGCCTCATCCCGCTGCCTTCGAACACAGCCTCCTGCGAGGCGCCGGCGTCGAACACGGCGCTGAAGCCAAAGGTGGCATCGTGCCTGGCCGCGCTTACCTGGCCGTGGGGACAGCGGGGGCTCAGGGGGTGCCGCAGCCCTCCCCCAGCCCGACACCCCGACGGGGAGGTGGCACTTACGTGCACGGCGCCGTCACCGAGGCTGTGCACAACCTGCTGGTCACCTCGCCGCGTCTCCGTGCCGGTCAGCGGCCGGACCCTAAGGGTGGGGTGTGGATGGGGACACAGAGGTGTCGCTGCACGGGGACCCTGGGGAGCCTCGCTGTGACCTCGCCCCAGGCAGCGAGGTTCCTGCCCTGAGCCCTTTCGTCTCCCCTTACCTTAGCACCACTCTCAGACGCGTCTCTTTGCCTTCCACGGGCCCCCCCTGCTCCTCTCCAGGACTCCTTTGGGGAACAGAGGGCAGCAGGGTGGTGGGTGCCCCCCAGATGGGGGGTTGTGCCCGCGGGCACCCCGGGGGCTGGGGTAGAGGGACCCCCGGTCATGCTGTGCTCTCACCGTCCTCCCACCCCCACTGTGCCCTGAGGCCTGGCGGGGGACAGAGCTCACTGTCCCTGCCACGTCGCCGCAGAAGGACGGTCCTGTCCCCCCGCAGCCTTTTTGGGATGCCACCCCCCGCTGCCTGTATCAGTCGTGCAGTCACCGCCCAAGTCCTGCTGCTCTAGGACGGTGTGGCCTCTGTCTCCTCCGTCGCCGCGACAACTTACGGTCTCTCCTGGCCCCGTGGGAGCGTTCTGGGCCGGGAGTCCGGCTGGGGCTCCCCGCCCCGCTCCCCCTTTGGTTCCATGCGCCCCCCAGCACCCGGTGCTCGGGGTGCCCGCACGCCCGGCCGGTCTCGGCGGGAGCCACCCTCAGCCGGCCCCGGCTGCCCCGCACAACCGGTACCACCGCTCCGGTTAAACATTGACCGGTGCCAGCCCTGCGGGAGAGCGGCGGTCGCACGGCGGGGGGCGAGCGGGGGAGGGCGGGGAGCCGGGAGGGAGCTCAGGGGGCGGGTGGCAGGTGGGTCCCGAGCCCTGGCATCCTCACAGGCCCCACCGTGCCCCGACGGCGGCGAAGGGAGACCTGTACGAGCAGCTGGTGGGGATCCTGGTCCCCGGGGATGCTGGGGAGTCAGTCGGGGCTGTCGGGACTGCCATCGGGGGCGCGGAGCTGGGACCGGCCCCGGGAGCCCTTGGGAAGGGTTCGGGGGGGACAGCACCGCCCGCTCGGGGCGGTCCCAGCCCGCCGGGGGGGATCCGGGGGGGATAAAAGCCGGGGCGGCGGCGGGCCCGGGGGAGCCGGGCAGGATGAGCGCGGCCCCGGGCACCTCCCGCGCTCCCCAGCCGCTGCTCCGCTTCCCCGACGGGGCGGGCGGGCCGGGCGGCGGGCGGGCGGCGGGCGGGGGCGGCGCCCCGGGGCCGTGCCCCTGCCCTTGTCCCTGCCCGGGGGGGCCGCGGAAGCGGCGGCGGACCACGTTCAGCCGGGGGCAGCTGTCGGAGCTGGAGCGAGCCTTCGCCGCCGTGCCCTACCCGGACATCGCCACCCGGGAGCGCCTGGCCGAGCTCACCCAGCTGCCGGAGGCCAAGATCCAGGTGAGCACAGGCGGGACCCTCCTCTCCATCCCTTCCTCCTTCCCTCCCGGGGCACCCTCTCCTCCTGTTGGGGCGCTGTCTGTGTCTCACAGTTCCCCTCGCCCGTCCCAGGTCTGGTTCCAGAACCGCCGCGCCCGCAGGATCCGTAGCGCCAAGCCGGAGCCGCCACCGCTACCGCCGCTGCCGCCGCCCGGGGAGCGGGGTCCCCCCGCGGCACCTCCCGACGGCAGCATCCCGTGCCCGGCCCCTGCCCTGCCGCCGCCGCCATCCCACAGCCCCGCTCGGGGCCTCCCCACCTCGCTGGGCTCCATCTCCGACCTCATCTACAGCGCGGCCATCACCAACCTGGGCGAGCCATAGGGGTGGCAAGGACCCCTGGCTTCTAGGGACTCTCCTGGCACCGCGCCCCCCCCGGATTAGCGCCACGATTTCATTAGGGTGCGGAATTACTGCCGGTCCCAAAGGCTCCGAGGATGTCATCCAATATCCTAAATGCCGGTGCGGCCACAGCAGGGGCAGCTCCCCATCAGCTCCCTAATACCGACTAATCTTTTGGAAAAAATACCTTAATCTGAGGCCGTATCCACGGATGATTGTGGCGCGGCCGCCCCTAATCCACAGGCGCGTTCGCAGGTGCCGGCAGAGCTCCCTGGATCAGATATTAAACCGTGTTTCCAGGGGGGCTTAGCTGCCATCAGAGCATTAATCACTGTGTCTGGCCCTGGCAGAGCGCCCACCCGGCAGGTGTCTGGTGTGGGTGTCCCCTCTCTGCTGTGGGTGCAGTGAGCTGGCTCTGCTCTCTGTCCCACAGCACCTGAGAGACCCCTGGGCTCAGTGTTGAAGGGTGCTCCCTCCTTGCCTCCAGAATCTGGGCACCCTTTGGCAGGGTGTTGGGAGCACCGTGCATCCCTCACTGTGCAGGCACAGGAAGGTTTGGACAGGAGATGGAGCAGGATGCAGAGGGAGAGGGAAGATTCACATCTCAGCCGTGTCTTAGACACCACAACGTTTCTCATACCAACAGAAACCTCCCAACACGCAGCAAGAAAGTTAGAAACACACAGTGTTATTTATTCCCAGAATAAAAGGACAGGAATTTCCCAGAACAGGGATAGCAGGAGCTGATGCCTCTCTCCCTGCTGGGGTGGTTGGAATCCACAGCCATTCCCTGTCCTGTCCTGCAGCTCTGGGATTTCCAACCCACGATTCATTTCAGGAGCAGGAAGCAAAGGATGAGCTTGAGGAGTGCAGCAGTCTTCCCACAGCAGGAACAGGTACAGACAGGACAAGATCTGTCCCAAATTAGCAGCTCCTGGGGAGGACAAAATCCTCCAGCATGAAACCTGCAGTTCATGGTCACAGTTTCCCAAGGTCCCCTTCGAGGGTCCGCACCATCACGTACAGCTCGGCCAAGCCCACCACCGAGGCCACAATGACAGCTGACAGGACACGCTGGGGACACAAAAGAGAGAGAGAGAGAGGTGACCCTGGCTGTGTGGCCTGGCCAGCACAGGGGGGCTGCCAGGGCTGGGCTCGCTCACCGCTGCTGTCTCTGCAAAGATGTACTGGCTGCCCAGGTAGGTGCAGGCAAAGGCGGCCACCACGGTGATGATGAAGTTGAAGATGGTGATGACAACGGCTTTCACGGAGCGAACTGGGGACAGAGGAGTGAAGGAGATGATTTTAGGTAAGGCTGGAGACAAGGTGTAATCATGCACAGCTGCTTCAGCTGGGAGATGGAATCCTGCAGGAGTCACATGCCTTGGTGCCTCCAGAAATGTTGGTAAGAATGACCAAAAGGCTCCTTTATTCAAGGAACACTTCAGTGCATGAAAACCTTCTGGTGAGATGTTCTGAGAGGGAAGGGCTGTCACCAGCTGGAGATGGAACAGTTCCCATGCCTGACCTGCCACATGTCAACAGGACAGGGAGCCACTCACCTTGCCTCCCAAATTCAGCCAATGGCCCGTTCATCTCCTGAAAGAAGGGATTGAAACAGCTTGTGATCACTTGTATTTTCATGTTAATAGTAATGTTATTACTGTGTGTGCAGAATAAAAGCAATGCCAATACCTGTCCTATGTGCAAGACTCTGGGGTTTTGGGTGGGTGGCTGTGGGGGAGCAGCAGTTTCACAGCACATGGGTTTCTTTGAGATTTTGCACAAGCTCTGCTAAAACCACCCTGGATTATAGATCACAACATGGTTTGGCCTGGAAGAGGACCTCAAAGACCATCCTGTTCTAGCCCCTGCCATGAGCAAGGACACCTTTCACTAAACCAGGCCAAACCTCAGCAGAGAGCAAAGCAGATCTTTCCATGAGAGTTAATGTGCACCTGGAAGCCAGGTACAGCATGGAAGGGCAGAATGGGATCTCAAGGAATGCCAGCAGGAAGGGATGCTGACTTCTCTGAACAGTCACCCTGTCAGAAAATCTCAGCTTTCTCAGAAAAGAATAAGTGCCCACCTATGATCTTGCATCTTCAGCTTTTAACCTTAACATGAATGAGGCAATTTTAAAACTATGACAAAAATTTCACCAGCACAGATGCTCCCAGTCAAACATTTACAACACGTGCTCAGTCTCCCAGAACAGAACCTGAGATCTCTGGCACAGTGAGCAGTTCCCAAAACTCAGCATGTTGAATTCACCACTCTGTTAACCCTGTCCTGCCTCTGTCCCCAACAGTGCATCTGTTGTTCCTGGTGTGTTTACAGTGTGCTCTCCTCCAGTGTCTGCCACATTCCCCCTGCACTGTTACAGTGTGCTTGGGCTATGCTTTTCCCCATTATCTGGGACCCCTGTGACTCTGATCAGATTAGCCTGGTACCCTCCTTCCTGCCCTGACAAGGTTGGCAGAGAGCCAGAGAAGTCCTCCCTGTCCAGAGCCTAGATAAGCACTTGACCCTTCTTGTTCATCCTCTTTCTCCCTCTCTTTCCCCCTGGACCTCATGGAATAAAGAAGTTGGACAACCACATCGGGGTGAGAGCCTCTTTTGAATCTTTGCCCATCTCCTGATGTTCCTCCCCTCAAGGCCTTGTATCTCTGGGTTAGCCTAATAATTTAGGGGCTGAGAGAGGTAGAGCATCACTGCACTGCACTCACTCTAAGGGGGAAAATCTTTGCTCTCAGGAGTTTGAGGGATGAATCCCGGCAGCAGGCACTGCAGCAGCCCCTCACCTGGCCGGTGATGTTGCGGGTCATCCGCCGGTACTCCTCGTGTGCCAGCTTGGCCTTGATCCTCTCCAGCCGTGCCACCAGCTCGGGGTTCTGGGGGAGGCACAGACGCACCGTGAGCGCCGGGAGCCTCCGCCTCCTCCCGCCGCTCCCGGCCGGCCTCGCTTACCCGCGGCGGCACCGGCACCTCGGGCAGGTGGATCTCGCATCCTTCCAGCAGCTCGTGCAGGTGCAGCGCCGACCCTGCGGACACGGGGCGGACAC